TCACTAGTTTTGTTCTGTGTTCCTTAAGAGTACCTGGACATTTTAATTTTCAGCATGATATAAATATTTGTTATTTTTTAATAATATCTCTTATAAATGTGTGATTATTTTTATTATTCAAAAATGAATAAATAATGCTTTTAAATATTTTTAAGTACTTAATTCATAAGTTGACCATTTGTACAAAAAAAAAGAAAGAAAAAAGGAATGGGGTCGATAATCAAAAAGGTTTTGGGATTCCTGACTTGGGGTATTGACCCTTTAATAGGCTCAATATCCTTAATAATAATAATAAACCCTGTATTTAAAAGGTTTATTATTATTATTAATGATATAGAGATTTAATAACGTAAATATGTAAGCTTATCTTCACAATGCTCGAGCATTAAATGCTATAAAATTATATAAAAAGTTAAAAATATTAAAATATTTATTAAAAATTTATGAATTTAAAAAAAAAAATTAATTAAATTGGAACACCCGGAAATTTCCATAATTTCTACAGGTGTTCATGTAACTATTAATAAATAAATAATAAAAATATATAAAGAGGATCTCATAATATATCACAGATGTTAAGGATGATAATTCAAAACTAAACAAATCATTTGTATATGAACCCGGAAATTAATTATTATATAAATTTAAAATGCATACAATATATATATATATATAAGATAGATGATAGGGTATTAATATATAATTATACAAAAACATGAAGGCTTTAGGAATATATCTCATAGTGCTTATTTCTCAGGTAAATTTATATTACTTTTATTTTCTTTAGTAAAACTTATCGAAGGTCCTCGAAGTAATTCTTCACAATGTTTTGTTCCTGGTTGGTAACTCCTACTTGCCATTTACGAGGTAGGATGCCACATCTTTACCAGTAAAGACTGATAGGTTGATACCTGCTGTTTTATTGAAAACAACTTCGGACATGTCACTCGCTATAGTGAACTCGAATTTGCCATTTACTAAATCTTTATTCGGTATGCGGGATACAAAATATAAAGTAAACAAAAAAATACCTTCTCAGCGTGTTTAAGTTAACCTTTAATATGCTTTTGTAATGTTAAATATTATGTTTTTGTGAGGCTTAATTAAACATATTTATGGATTTTTTTCAGCATCTTGCTAGTGGAATTAATAGTAAGTTACCTTATTTTACTTGTTTTTTTTATTAGGTTTTATTGTTTTACTTTCTAAATTTGTAATTTTTACGGTTTTTAGATAAGGAATCGTTCATTGTAAGAGGTACGGATTGCAAGGACAAAGAGTATCCAGCTATTGTAAGTGCTGCCATCTTATGATAAAAAAACAATTATATTTTAATTTTCTTTTAAAATATTCTTATGATTTTAGATTTATTTACAACGTTATATTAATAAAAATAAATTTATATATTTATTTTTATTTTTTAAGGGTGCTCTTCACTATGGGAATCAATTCATATGCACTGGATCTGTCATAGATGAGCGTTTCTTCCTTACAGCTTCACATTGTGTCGTTGGGTAAATACTTTTTAACAAATTAAAAGTTATATTATTATATTTTAATTTAATAAACAAATAATGCATTTTTAACAATTATATTTTAGTTCAGGAGGTGTTCCAGCTCCCGCTTCCAACTTTAAAGTCGTTTTAGGTAACGTGAGCCGCTCTTCTAATGCTCATGTCTATACATTTTCTAAAGTAATTTCTCATGAAGAGTATAATGATGGAACAATAGCAAATGACATTGCTCTAATGAAATTTTCTAAGCCTGTAGATTTCAGTAGTGATTATATAAAACCCCTCTGTATACCTTCGAAAAATAGAAAGTTTGAAGGGCAAGAAGCTATGGCTGTCGGTTGGGGTAGAGATGAAAACGGTAAGCAAAATTTCTATTATTTATGTTAGAAAATGCATTTTATTTGTTATAATAATTAATTTTAATGCCCTTTAGGGAACATTCCCGAAGTTTTAAAAAAGGTGGAAGTGGATGTGTGTAGTAAGCGTTATTGTTCTTTTGTTTATTATCTTTTATCTCAGGGAAGACTTGAGATTTCTGATAAGCAAATATGCTCTGGATCGAGAATGAAAGGCGTTTGCAATGTAAGTACATTTTTACAATATTTTCAGTGTGTACTAAAAAATTTGGTGTGATTTTATAAACTAGTTAATCAAGTACGCAAGGCCCTAGAAGCCGAGGTCCTTTTGGTTCGGGCTTCAAAAACATTTGTTACAATTTTTCATTTTATTAAATTTCTTACTTATTAAAGGAAAAAATACTTTATTTCATGATAAATTTTATTATTTAAAAGATATAAAAGATGTTTGCATTTAAAAATAATAATTGACCCAGGCCTCTCTTTACCTCTGATAGGCCCTGCCATTGTTTTGCAAATTCAAATAGAATTTATATCAGTGTTTCTCAACGGGGGCGATATCGCCCCCATGTGGGCGTTTTTCCATGTTGAGGGGGACGATTAGTAACAATTTATATTTTGGGGGTGAAAAACAATTTTCTGGACTATATAGTAAAACATTATATTAAGAATAATTAGATATTTTATTCGTTATATCGTACAATAATTAAACAAATAACATTATACTAGTCACTAATCTATTCGATGCAGTATGAATTTGGCGTTAGCCTTGGCCCTCGGCATCGGAATTTTGAAGTGAAGGGGGCGATACTACGTTGAAGGGGGCGACGATTCGTTAGAGGTTGAGAAACACTGATTTATATCTATCAAATCATTAAAATTTTTAAGAATACGAACGCGTGGCTGAGGATGTTAATGCATCAATCCACTGTTCTGAAGGACCCGGAATCGAATCTGGTTTGTGCGAAAAAACTTCATGAAATTTTCATGGGCATTCTTTTCCAGATAGATTGGTTCCGTCTGTCATTGCCCGGTCGTCCCTCTTATGAGTCTGTGGTCGAACTTACGATTGGTATGAAAAAAGGGTCCTCTTAGTGGCCACGAGAGGAAAAAGTTGAATAGAAACTGCAAGAATTTTAAAGAGATGGGGTGTTCCTTCCCTCACCACTCGGTTGCTCTTATTTTGAGCGTGGACGAACCCTTGATAAATATGATTAAAAAAGCCTTTATTTTCATACTTATTAAGTTTACACACACTTATTCAGTCTTTACTAATAAAATCATTAATTGTTTTAGGGTGATTCCGGTGGTCCATTAATCATAAAAATGGAAGATAAATTCGTCACCATAGGCGTGACATCATTCGGTTCCTTTTTAGGATGTGCTTTTCCATTTGTGCCAGCGGTTTATACAAGGGTGACACATTATTACGATTGGATAATGGAAAACGTTGAAAATGGAACGGTGTGCGTTGTTTAGAATAAGATTTTCCTTACAAAATTTGACAGTTTTTCAGTGAAATTGATAATGTAAAATTATATTTATAAAAAATAAACACGATTTAAGTATTGGGTATTTACATTGTTGACTTAATATAGTCTTAATTTAATAATTATTTATCATTTCACATTGCAAAAGGGCCGACCCTAAATGGGGTCTGCCGGTATGAGTGGAAAAATAACGGAATGACACCTTAATTCCTAGTCTCTATTATAAATTATGGTATTTTAGATGAGATTCGAAACCAGATCTCTCATGACCATAGGCTAAAGACTGATTCATATTTCATGAAAATAAAAAGAGAAACGAATGTGTCTGTTCTCTTTTCTGTCGCTTTTTTCTACGAAAAACGTTGTATGAATGATAATGAGAAGAGAATTATGAAATAAAAAAAAAACAAATTATAAAAATATTCTTCTACAGAATATTAATTTTATAATTTAAATACGCGTATTTATATGGGGTACATAAACAATGAGCTAGAATATACTATATAGAGTGGCTGAAGCGATACTACATTTGAGAGAAATTGAATATATGGCCGTCATTTTCCTTTTAGTCAAAAGGCTGTGGCATTTGTGTTGTGTAAAGACAACGAGCTGGAATATTCTAACTCGTTGACAGTACCCGTTGTTACCACCAAGAGTGCTGTAACCAGCCACTCTATTGATGATCACAGCCAGTCTATGAAGTATATTCTAGCTCGTTGTATTAATACATAAAGAACAATCTTGGTTACTGCAACGCGACACATGCGGTTTGCCGAGGGGGATGCCTTCTGGGAGGATGTTTATGGAAAACTGATCCCTATTTAGGTATTAACGTGAAGAAAACCCGGAAAACTTCACTTGGATAGCCCTTTGGCCAGGCGTAAACCACGACCATCAGAGGTTTTATTCATTCGGCCACCGGTAAGCAAATGAATAAAACCTCTCATTTGTATTCATAACTGAACTCATTTATAAGTGGCCGAGACAAGGGAGCAGGCGACTTATAAATGTGGGGACCCATTATTTCCATATATTTCATATATTTTTAATTTTATGCCAAAAGAAATTTAGTAAAACGATATAAAAATGATAAATTAAAGACTAAATTTTGATGCCCTCATCTCAATGGTCCTGCTGATCTCCTTTTATCTCAATCTGATTGCAAATATGAACAAGTTGATATTTAAAAGATTTTTACTGTTTATCGCGAGAAGAATTCTTCTTTGTACTAGATTAGGGCCGCACCAATGGTACGCGTGCCTAAAGTGGCATGTCAGCAGAAATCATCTTGCACGTAATATATCACATGATTTCGATTTATAACTTGTCTTTTTCAATCATCCCATTTAAAATTATATCCGTTTTATTTCTTTGAAAATCGTTATTCGAAGTTTAAAACTTCGGTACGCATAAATCTATCAATGGCCAAGTACATAAAACACCAAACACTGGTAGGTTGTCTCTGGGATGTATTTGACTGTTAGAATGACATTTAGAATTACAGTTGATAACTTTTAAACATTTGCATTTTTAATCGATGTAGTATCTTTTACAATTGCAGATTACAAAGCCCCGCTTACTTCCAGATAATACATTTTAAGCTGACTAAAGACTTCTCTGACGTGGTAAACATCCTCGAATGAGTTTGCTTTCGGTTGATAATTTTCGTATCTCAATTAATGCGCTGTTAACGTAACGTAATAAAAAGCAAGTGCTTTCTGAATTTTATAATCCATTTTTGGCAATCATGACGATGCACTAAAGGACTTCTGGGAAAAATTTATGAAACAGAAACCGTTTCAACGGAAATCAATGGAAAGATATTCTGCTGCGCTTATCCGGGACAGTTTTAACCGTTTTACCTTTCCTGAAGCATAAGTTAAACCCTGTCTTAAGAGACACTTTTTCTAGGCATATCGCCAAGTCAAAAATAGGGAGGCTGGCTAATGAGATAAAACATTAATATACAAACATTGGAGACTCATTAGTTTAATTTTAACTAGTATTAATATAATTTTCCAATGAGTTACATTTTTACTGATCTACAACATACACATACTAGTATGCACTATAAGTAAATATAATACAAACCTAATATAACAAATCAAGGACTTTAAACTACAGTTTAAAGTCCTTGATAACAAATAATATTAATTTTCCTATAATAAGCCAATCCATTATTAAAACTGCTGATTACATTGTTTAGTTATCATTTAAAACAAACAAATATATCTTTACTTTTCTACATTATTTATCTACGGTTTTAGAAGGACCATACTATCGGCATTCAGTAAAATAGTGAAATCCTTTCCATAGTTTTTGCCTATATTTTACTGTAAATGAGACATCAAGTTTTGCAAATCATATTTTTATGTTCGTTCAAAAAATTAATCGTTAGTTCGAGATGCCTTGCCTTACTCGCTTCGCCACCATGTTACTAAACAGTTTCACATGCACGTGTTGAATTCACCCACTTTTTACCACACTTTCTTACTGGCTAAATAGATGCAAAAGTTGTTTAGCCTGAAATCAACAACTTTATAAAGTGGTTGCTATTTCTGTCGCCGAGAGGACTCGAGAACCAGTTGATGTTCGACTTCAACTTACAACAGTGAGTTCAGTTGACCATGATGTCACCAAATGTCGTTCCACAATTCTCACTTAGTAGGGTAGAGCCCCTGGCAGCCAAATCCAGAGCTACCACAGACCGTTTATTAGGTCTATATAACGAACTAGAATATACTACATAGAGTGGTTGAAGCGACGTCATGAAGAAAATTGAATATACGTCCGCCATTTTTCTTTTAGTCAAGGGGCGTAGCACGTCTGTTGTGTAAAAACAATGAGCTGGGATATTCTAACTCGTTGGGACTATATGTAGAATTTTGCCTAATAAGAATAATAAACGAAACATTTTGATGATTATTAATTGTTTATGTATGAAATTCTTAATTAGATGATATTAAATTAATAAGGATGGCAATATTATTCTTGCATCTGGGTGACCAACAACCCAGGAACGGCCCTGGTAATCATACAAACAATTCGTCAAAACTCTTAATACTGCAGTTTTCAAATTGGAAATGTTATCGTATTATTATCCGTTAGCATATATCATCCTTACAAGTCATTCTATAGAGAATCTATAAGGTTTATGTCAGGGCAACAAGCTGGCCATTGAAGAACAGAAATATTATTTTTGACAAGCCAAGTTATTATAGAATATGTTGAATGTATCCCCCTGAAAAATTAAGTTTTGGTCTATCGTTTCGTCTCAGAAAGAAAGAAAATCGTTTCTTCGTAGATATTGATATTTTTCGACATCTAATCGCTTTGGCACAAACTCAATATATGAGTTTATATTGAGGCGCCCCTTACACCTCGCGCCAGTGGCACTTGCCCCGTTGCTAACGCATTGCTACGTGTCCAATTGAATTTCTACTATTTTAATTTTTTTAAGATGTTGAACAATCGCGTTGAAAACAGGAATTGACAAACATATTTTTAAAATTATCAATATTAGGAAAAGTAGAAAGTAGTTCTCCTTAAATTGCTTTGTACTCCGCATCGATAAAGAATTTAAATTTTCTTTTTCTTTGAAAATTGTATAAACTATTAATTCTTTCTTAAAAAATAGTAACATCGATGTCGTCTAAATAAGTATTTATTAAATTCATAATATAGTTATCATACGCTTTTGGTGATATTTTCTTTAAGATCTATGCTGCGCCTGCGTCACACTGGCAATCTATGCCCCGGATATGGCTCAAAATTAAATTTTGATATTCTTACTACAGTAATGATGTTATAAAAAATTGGTTTGGGGTTCCCTATTGGTGAGGCCCCAGGCAATTTTTTTCTCCATACGATAACGCTCCACTAAGTAGGCCCTCATAAGCTTCTAGGCTATGTCGTCCTGTGGTAAAGTGTGACGTAATTGTCATGTAATAGTGGTGGTATGCGTTTGTGATGGTCGTTATGCGGAAATAATGCCTTCCGGCAGGTAAGTTTCTGCTTAAAGATGGCTACCAACAATAGAAAAAATCGAGGAATTCGTTACTTTCGAACATTCGACAAATACGACACGCGTTACATCGAAACATTAATCGATATGAACTTATTATTATTACACGTAAATATTCTTTATTTTTTACATTATAATATTAATTCCATTCATTATATCAACACTTTTAATGTCATATAGCAATACAGTAAGATCCCGCTTAACGCTGCCTCGATTAACGCTAATTCGATATAACGCAGTCTGCTCGAAGTCTAAAAACAAGCTCAAAATTTACGCTGATTCAAATTATCGCTGCATTTCATTGATTCGTATATAATACAATTATTCCCGAACACGAACCAATCAGCTATCAGAACCTTAAATTCACGTTTGTTTGGTGCAATTTTAGAAACAATATATCATCATTAATGCCACAGGCAATATCGACTTCGCTCGGCAAGAATTAACTGATAAATGCATGAACGGAGTGTGGAAGAAGTTATGGCTGGAGGTATCCAAGAATTCTCAAAGAAAAGAGACTATCGTTGACTAAATTATCAACCTAATCGATACGGCAAGACTAGGAGATGTAGACGAGCAGGATATTAAGAAATTACTGCAGGTTTCTGGTCAAAGCCTTACCAACGACCTTCAAGAACTGGCAGAACAAGAAATTCAAGTAGAACTGGAAAATTGTGATTCTGAAAACGAAGCACCCAAATATTTCCTTAGTAAAAGTTTTGTAACGATAACCGAAATCGTTGATCAAATTGTAGCGAATGATCCAGATTTTGAAAGGAATGCAAAAGCAAGACAAGGCGTTTTGGATGTGATCTCCTGCTACAGACATTTGCTTAATGTAGTGTTCCGCAACGTTTTTCTACTTGGCACACCTATGACTTGACATGACTCGACACGGCACACCAAAATGTTATTCCTCTCAAAAACGTATGATATGATTCTATTAATAGAATTTCGTAATGCCA